CTCCTTTCAACAGTTCCCTATCAACATCAAATTGACAACAATCAGAAATAACGGCATACGCAATGCATTGTTTATTAAGATGATATAAAATGATTAGTTTGAGATACTGCTCGAGTCCTACACAAAATAAGAGTTATCAAACTTCAGAGGATCCTCTGTCCAAGGTCCATCAAAACCAGATCTCTCCGGATGTGCTCTTCCCTGTAACATAAGAGTTCACAACTTATGATTCAACTATTGGAACAATAAAGCCATGAAAGAATTATGTGTGAATAAATTACCAATGTGTGACCCCCAGACAATGCAACAATATCCTTGTCAGACAGGCCCATTCTATAAAAAATGTCACGCAGATGTGGTGCACCTATCATCAAAATTCGAAAAAAGCTAACATTTATAATATCAACTTCTATAAGTAACAATTTCCTAAAGAAAATTAAGCAAGAATGCACAAAATGAATCATTATCATTAAACCCTAGGAAAATTACGAAGCTTCCAGAAAAATACAGATCAATTTCACAAAATATTATATCAAAAAGCATAGTCCAAATATGAAATATCATGTAGAGAGCTGACTTCTCTTTGACACTTGCTCCCTTTCCTTCTGTATACTTCAGTGTATACAAAAATGTATGAGGCAAAGACTAATTGTTTGAACACTAGTCTACTACTAGAAAGATGATATTATGACTACAATATCGAACAATCATGGCTTTGGTGCAGATTACCCCACCTCAACCTGTAAAGCTGTTATTATAAGAGAATGAATTAAGATATTATATCATCCTCCTATCTTCGACAAAAAGAACTATTTTCTTCGATGAAAGAAGAAGGTTAGACCTTTTCTATGAGGAAGAAAGGAAGATCTTGGCTCCGAGGGGAAAAGAATTGATTTACTATCTATCTGTATGGGTCTTTTTCACTCCTATGCAGATTTCTTATTGCATAAAAGAGCCCGTCGGGATTCATAGAACCAAAGGAGTAGAAGCATTCGGAGTCTGCACATGCTTTTCCTATTATAGTGGAATGAACTCTATTATCAACATGGTTAAATCACACTCAAGACTGGCACTGACACCTTACAATTCCAATTAGAACCTGTAAGTTGTCCAAACTTCAGCTTACTTTATTACAACATGAGTAAAAATTTTACAGCAAATTGCAACTAATAATAATACAAAAAAAATTTGCAGTTCTTCCTTCTCTTTCTCCTTGACAAATGATTACAAAATATAATGATCACGTTAAACTACTCATCTACAAACTGAACCATCATATTATTCATTCACAGTACATAGCTGGATGCAAAGAAGGCATATATATATCATTCAATTTGCAGGATTGCACGAAGCTACATACAATATTAAAGAATTATTATACCTTTTTTTGCATCAGGAAGTCGGCCTTCCCTGGGAGAAATTCTTGAATCCTGAGGACAAATGATTCAGGCGCTACCACAGTAGATGATGTAACCATCAGATGCTACAAGAAACAAACAAATTACTGTACCTTTCTACCAGAAACAAAGTCAATAGTGGGGCCTCCAGTGACCTCAACGGCAACTACACCAGCTAGCTGAATTGAGTATATTTAACACTATCAGATTTTGGGGGACTGTAAGAAACTTTACAGCATTAGTGAGTAGTGTATACTCGAAAATCTCATTGTTCTTGTCATAGTAGATGCATGACAATATTTGAGTCTGCCATGGTGAATGTGTAAGATTGGAACAAGTATTGATACTATGATCTAGTAAAAATGAATATCTGAAACTCTTACATCTGCCTGCTCCTAACATTTACACTCATCACTTTGTACTTTAGTAAAAAAGAATATCTGAAACTCTTATATCTGCCTTTTCCTAACATTTACACTCATCACTTTGTACTTCAGTACCCATGACTGGTGCCACCTTTGGCTCACTGAGGCAGTAGGAACAAATATATGAAAAATTCACTCAAATTTGGGACATGGATTTTTTTCTTTTCCCCCGACTTACTGGTGAGGTGGGGAGTTAATGTGAACCGCAATTCTGGTCAGTTTCTCATCAACTCTAGATGCAGTTTTTATCACATTAATTTATCATTGCCAAAAAAAAAAAAAAATCACTACTTCTAATTACAGTACAGGACTTCTAGTTCTAAAAATTTCCTTCACGACTCTGGTAAATAAAGTTTTCCTATCACAATGGACACTTTCATTAAGCTTTAATCTAGGAGTTATGAAGAAGCATGTATAAACTTGTTTGCTAAAAAACAAAGGTATGTATAGCATATGAATTTGGAAGATGCACGCATCTTTGTCTGGCACTATAAAGAGCTTTAGAAATTATATTACGAACCTACTATGCTAATAAAATTTCAATTCTACTTCAAACTTCAGTTGGAAAAGATTAACGGCGAGAGATGTTGAAATGCTTAACACAAGTCAAGTACAAGCGCTTGACCATGGTAGTAACACCAACATCCATGCAATACAATCTTCGGTTCTATAAGTAGCAAGCCCATGATCACAAGTCAACTTTAGAAGGTAAAGAAATTCATCTAAGTTCCATTAATAAATCAATTATCAATCACATTATATTTCTCATATTTACATTAAAAACACATAGTTCCTTTGCGGAATCTATTCCACGTAAAATGCATATCTACACGACCGTAATAGTCTCAGTTACCTGGTATAAGTCTGCATAAGTAATCTTCGGATGTTTAGATTTCACTTCCTCTGTTATAAAGGGGAAAATGGAAAAGAAAAACATTCAAATAGAGAAAAAAAAAACAGTTATCACGCTCATTAGCAGATACAAGAGACTAGAATCTCCTAAGTGATCCTAAACTAGGATTAGAAAACACAAAATAATTCCTATGCTCGAAGTGTAAGTCAAGCGTGTTAATTTGCAATATTTAGTGGATATTCTCGGTAAATAAAAAATAAAAAAAAAAATGTGATACAGCTCCACTTTCTAAGCTAACATTAGTGAAGATACTTCGAACCTTATTCAGATAACTGATTTAATTAACTTTCAGTATACACGGTCGTCGACTCAAAGAATAAAACACTGAAGGAATCAGAAAGCGTACCACAAAAATCAATAGCCTTTTTCAGACCATTATTAGAACCATGAGAATACTCCTCCTGATTCCTAATCGATCCATTAGGCCCACCAGTTTTCGTACTCACATCATACGTACCAGCGTCGTGCCAACTACAAAACACGCTACAGTCTTAGAAACGTCGAAAATTAGCTACAGTTGTTTGTCAGAAATCACTCAAACAAATTCAGAGAGAAAGTAAACCATCGCTCAACAGACAAAAAAAACCATCGAAATCGGAGAATTCCTATTTCGTCCATATCACGCTGTCCTAAAAGCAACTGTCCGCCTCCCTCATTCAATCAACCGAACCCGAGAGAAAAACGAAACGACACAAATAACAATCCGAGAAATACATCATTTATTCCTATACTTGCAAAGAATCAATCAAAGTCAATGTTGAGAGAGAATACGCCAAACGAAGCATGATCGGCGCGCAGTTCCGGTTGGCAATGAGAGCACGGAGGTCACGGCGAGCCTTTTCGATCTCCTTGAGGTACTCGGTGTCTACGACCGGTAACGCCATCGGAATTCAACACAGCACCAAAACTGAAGCAGTCGCGTCGCACAGTACAGAGATTACCTGAGGATGAAGACGAAGATGAATCAATTGGATTGGATGTTATAATACGCAGATGAACGAACGAAACAGAAGTAAATGCCTCGACCTCAGCAAAAAACAAACCGCCCCTAAACTGATAACGCAAGCTCCAAAGCTCATCCTTTGGGGCATGAACCGCCACGCGCCTAATTTCAATCAACTATTTATTTATTTATTTATTTATTTATTTATTTATTATTGTTTATAGGAGGAATTCTGAAGTGAAAATTAATGTACTTATGAAATTTAATGCATCATTTTTCTCAAATTTCTACCACAAATTACGTATACAATAAAATTTTCAAATTAAGTATGCAATAAATAAAAAATTATTCAATGAAAATATATGGAAGTTTTTCAAAAATTTTAATCCTAAATTTGTACTAAAAAAAATGAAAAGAACGTGCAAATTAAGATGACTAACGTGCAAATGAATTTATTAATCTTAATCATAATAATGCGGGAGAATAATTCAATTAGTCAAATTATATATATATATATATATATATATTTTATTTAAAGGCCGTATTAATTATGGTTAAAGTCAAATTATAAATGTAACCACATCTTAAAGACCGATCTCGTCATATCCCAACCACGACACCTATTCCAAAACAGAAGTCTCACCTGTCGTTCTAACGCCACCAAATTGAGTTTGATATAGCATTTAGAGGAGAAGAAAGTCCTAAGTAAAAAAATACGATATTTGGTTAAGTTAAGATTGCAAAATTTTTATCTTCACAATGTGGACTTGTAATTTGAATGAGGATTCGGATTTTTGGAGTTTTAAAAATTTTCTTTTTTGTCATGAAATTATTCTTTGATGGTTGATTCACTTAATGTTTCGAAAATTTGATCTTAGGATCCCTCTGGGTGGGGTTTGAGCCCTTTGTGCAAGCACATCGAGAAGTAGATTCGACCTGGGTTACCCTACACTTGCAAGACGGATACGCCAAGTTCAGATAGAACCTACGACCATCAGGTTAAAAGCTCAATGCACTACTAACCAAGTTATACACCCATGAAAAGAAATATAGGTGGGAGGATTGATGCATAAGGCAAAGAGAGTGGCCCTTTGCCTTTGACCAATCTCTGTCTAGCTCGAAGGAACCTTTGCATGCCTCTATTACCTTTTGAGCGACTTACGTCCCATAGTAACTATCTACTTGAGACTGTCTCTTGGCCTGTAGATCCTAACACAATGTTAGAATACTAGCTTTTTCAGAGTGGTATCTCACTAATGACTCGGGTCGAAATTATCTCCACATTTTCACTAAGGCAGGAACATAGAACATTGCTTCAAGAAAATAACTTATTTGACCCGAAGTCACATTTTCCAGCAGTTACACTAAATCTTCTAGTTGCAAACATGTCATACATAACATTCACAAACTTGACAAGTCAGAAAGAAGAGGAGGAGGCCTTCGTACCATGGTGGCTTGTTCGTATGCATAAGCGATCTCGATCAGCTTCGGTTCGGTCCCCTTAAGACCCGAAAAGAGGATGCCAAACGGCTCTCCGTTTCCTTCATATCCAGCAGGGACAGAGATGGCAGGATATCCCCCAATAGCTAGAACAGTTTCGGCTCCAGTCCCTAATGTTACCATTGCATCCAGATTATAGGTCTTCATCATTTCCTCAAATCCATGTCTTGATAAGTTTTCCATCATACTAATCGCTGCCTTCTCTGCCTCTCCGATCCCCTCGGTTTGCTCGGATAAAAGAAAGGCATCTTGGCCATACTCTTTCATGTTTTCCTGCAATGCAAAAAAGCAATATCAATCTCTTATTTTATCCCACGAGACCTTTCGGCCAACCCCACAAAGATTGTGAGATCTCACGTCGGTTGGAGAGGGGACGAAGTATTTATTATAAGAGTGTAAAAATCTCTCCTAAAATTGTGAGGCTAACAGCGATACGTAAGGGATCGAAACGGACAATATCTGCTAGCTATGGACTTTGGCTATTACAAAGGGTATCAAAGCTAGACACCGAACAGTGTGCCAACGAGGACACTGAGTCTCGAAGGGAGGTGGATTGTGAGATCCCACATCGAATGAAGAAGGAAACAAGTGCCAGTGAGGACGCTGAGCACCGAGGGGGGTGGATTGTGAGATCTCACATTGGTTGGAGAGGGGAACGAAGTATTCTTTATAAGGGTGTGGAAACCTCTCCTTAATAGACGCGTTTTAAAAACTTTGAGAGAAAACCCAAAAAAGGACCAAAGAGGGCAATACCGGCTAACGGTGAGCTTGGACTATGACAAAGATCCCATCTAGTGATTATTAGGAGACATGCAATTTTGTGAACTCACATGTAACGATTATTACGAGACGGGTCTTACCAGTTCAGGATGGTTGTTGTTGAAGGCAATAATGTCAGCTAGAGACCGAACTGGACTTTGGATCAGGTTCTTGAGGTAATCGTTTATGGTGAGCTTGAACTCAGCTATCATTGCAACTAATTCACCACTTTCATAAGGATTCAGAATTGCAGCTACATTTGATATTTGAAGGTTGTCTACAATGGTTGCTCCACTTTTCCTTCAATTTTAGGAAAGAGCCAAACTCAGCAACTAGTACAAAATCAATATTTCACTAACTACAGTTCAAGTGGCATCCAAACCTTAAATAAGACTAAAACGTCACACAACAAAACTTAATGTTTAGAGACTAAATCGTTCCTTTTATAAAAGTTCCAAAAATGGTTTTAGTTTATGTAACCGCCCAAAATCACCGCTAGCAGATATTGTCTTCTTTGGGTTTTCCCTTTCGAGCATCCCCTAAAGGTTTTTAAAACGCGTCTACTGGGGAGAGGTTTCCACACCCTTGTAAAGAATGTTTCGTTCTCTTCCTCAACCGATGTGGGAACTCACAATCCACCCTGCTAGGGAAAGGTTTCCACCCCCTTATAAACAATGTTTCGTTCTCCTCCTCAACCGAAGTGGGAACTCACAATCCACCCTGTTAGAGAAAGGTTTCCACACCTTTATAAATAATGTTTCGTTATCTTCCCAAACCGACGTGGGATCTCACCGTTTATTAAGAAATGGACTTCAAGAACTAAAAAAATGCACTAATGCTGTTCAAAAAGCTCATTGTAAGAACCCTCTTTAGATTTCTCAAAAGTAAGAAATGAAATCATCTGTGGGCCAAAGGAGAAAAAAGAGTTAACAATGAAGTTATACCTTAGCAGCTTGACATGATGCTCAAAGGATTGAATGGCCGTGGATTCATTGGCATACAAATCAGAAAAGGGATGCCTAACAATGCCCAATCGTTTTCCTGTAAGCCCATCTCTCTTCAGAAATTGCTTATATCCACCAGACGGAATGAATTGAGATCCAACCTTGGTTGCCTCAGAGTCCATTGGATCAAACCCAACAATAGCATCAAGAACATAAACAGCATCAGAAACTGTCCTGCATATGGGCCTGTCAATCCCCCCCTCCCCCTATGTAAGACACTGTGCAACTCATACTGTGTTTGGAAAACTAACAGTTTAAGCTCAATTTCATAATTGTTTTTGATTTCTTAGGAATCACCATTCACGACCCTCTACAATTGTATGATATTGTCTACTTTAGGCATAAGCTCGAGAGTATTCTTTAATTATAAACTCATGATCATTCCCTAAATTAGTGGACGTAGTCTTTCCTTCAACATTCCAATCAATAACCTAGGATCGACTTCATCTTTTATAAGCAAGAAGAACACTGAAAGAAAAAGTACAGAAGAGATTCAGTTTAATCTAAGTTTTTATACCCGATTGTGTCTTGCCGGGGAGAGATGGGGATAACGCCGGCACGGCTCGTGAGACCGACGGTGGGTTTGATGCCGACGACAGAGTTGTAATCGGCCGGACACAAAATTGAGCCATCTGTCTCGGTTCCTAACGACACCGCCGCCATGTTGGCGGCCACTGATATGGCTGAGCCACTGCTTGAACCGCAGGGATCCCCTCCTTTCCCATATGGGTTCTGTATGTTTGATCAAATTTGTCATTGAAAATTATGAAATTAGCATCGTTTCATACATATTATCCTAATTTTTTTTTTTTTTTTTTTGAAATAACTAAAAATTTAAATATTTTCTTAATAAACATGAAATTCTTAGTGGAAAATGGTAAAAAAAAAAAAACAAAAATAATTTTCAAAATAAAAAACCAAATAATTATAAAACAAGCTAAGGTGATTTGAATTTATTCTTATTTTTCAAAAATCTATTAATTTTATTAATTTTTATATTTTTAACTTAAAATTTTAGACGTGTATGCTTTTTTTTATTAAAAAAATAAATAATTACCCAATGTAATTATATGTTTCTTTATTTAATAATTAAATTATAAATTTAATTTATGATCTTTTAAACTTATGCCTAAAATATTTAATAAGCTTAGATATAAAATTAAATTTGTTAGATATAAATTTGAGAAATTTTATTACAAATAATAAATTTAAATAAACATAAATTTAAAATATTTTTAAAATTTGTATTTTTTTTTTTTTATTATTTAAAAGAAAATAGGGACTGGAAAATAAAACTAAAACATTCAGTTACAAACCAGGGCTTGACCGCCGCGAGCACACCAACCATGGGGAATCTTCATAGACCGAGACCCATACCACTCAGTGAGCGAAGTTTTCCCCAAAATCACCGCACCGGCGTTCCTCAGGCGATGGACCACCTTCGCATCTCGAGGCACCACCGAACCAAGCAATGCGAAGGAACCGGCCGTGGTATTGAGCCGATCCTTGGTTCCAATAGAATCCTTGAGCAGCACTGGAATTCCATGGAGTTCGCCAAGGGCTTTTCCTCCAGCGAGCTCCCTCTCTCGATCGGCGGCTTCCGCTTGAGCTCTCGCATCAGGATTCACTTCGAGAACGCTTTTAAGCACTGGATTAAGAAAATCGATCTTGTTGAGGTAGTGATCGAGAAGTTCTCTGGAGGTGAGCTTGTTTTGGGAGAAGGCGTGTTGGATTTCGGCGACGGTTGCTTCGTCGATCGGAAATTGAGAACTGTTGGCTCCGATGAAGAATAAGAAAGCCGAGAGGAAGAAGACGATGTTCATTTTTGGATAGTGGCGACGACGGCGGCGGCGGTAGGAGCGTATGGACGGAGATTGGGACCGTCTGGATTTCTAGAGGAAAAGGATTGGATCCTGGAAAGTCGACATTTCTAATCTTGGTCAATGCGTTGAGTGAAGTGCATAAATTGATTTCCAAATAAGAGATATCCACGTGTGTCGAGATCCCTTCACCACCTCCTAGCGGTGATGGAGAATACAATCCTCATCTCATCCCATCCTCGACTCCAACTCCGTTTAGCTAACGATAAAAAAATACTTTTATTCTCCATTTAATTAGAGATTCTTCCGTTGTTAAATAATTCTTATGAATTGACCAGAGAGAAACTCATTGCTCGTCGAAGATGAAATGTATTGAAGTAGATCGAGAGAAGATTGGTTGCAGTGAGGGAAAAAAAACTAAATAGTTCATTCTATAGTGTCTTAGAAGGAAAATACGAGGATAACATATCAGTGGATGTCAAAGATGAATCGAGAGTTTTAGTTACGAAGGCAGAGTGATCAACACAACAACAAGGAGCTAAACCTCCTTTGTGCCAAAGCTAATATCGAAGTTGCCCTAAAGAATATGTGCCCAATTAGAGCGTTCGAACTGAATCGAACGATGCTCATGCGATATATGATATATTATCAGAAATCAGCTACATTGGTGAGATCGAAAATATCATTCGGGCCATGTCTCGTTCGTACATTGTCATAGATGAGTTGAATCTCAATATGCTATTACTTAAAAAAAGAGACATTTCATAAAGCGTTGAGTAGAACTTACCCATTTCAAGAAGGAACAGATCAAGAACTGGCCCAGCTTCCATAGATGCTTTCCTTTGCTTTGCTGCAATAAGCTACAAGAAAACAGAAAGGTAGGCACAGCAAATTCCTTTCTGATACGAAGTTTTAATCGAAACAAGACTAAATCCCGTTCTCAAAGGTTCAAACGAACCTACCGTTAGCAGATGATTAGCTTCACGGTTATAAAACGCGTCTGTTAGAGAGAAGTTTCCACACCCATGTTTCGTTCTACTCTCCAACCGATGTGGAATCTCACAATCCACCCTTCTTGGAGGCCCAGCGTCCTCGCTGGCACACTGCTCGGTGTGTGGCTCTGATATCATTTGTAACAATCCAACCTCGCCGCCGTTTTAGTCCGTTATCTATTGCCATCAGCCTCATAGTTCTAAAACGCATCTATAAGGGAGATGTTTCCACACCCTTATGGAATGCTTCATTCTCAACATAGGATCATAAATGTAGACAAAACACGACTTGAGATTAGAACAATAAGGTTAACACAGTAGTACTTCGGCTTAAAAACATTACAGTAAACTGACTAACTTGACTCAAGAACTACCACCAACAACACATCAAAATTGTTTCCCTGGAAAAGTTATAAAGCAACATTAGAGAATGTTGTCCATAGAACAAAACTTTCACTGACTTCCATGTCTGTCTTTCAATCTCTCAGTATTACATTCATCAAGCTTCGTTCTTGTTCCCGTCCCCGTCCCCTTCGCCATCGCCATTTTCGTTGTCCTCCACACTGTAAAGCAAAAATCAGTTAAGATCATACCAGAAAACAGAAATGGGTGAATGTCAAGTTACTTTGTAAAGTTAGCTGATATGATTATAGCTATGTTACAAAGCTAGAAATGGTTGAACAGACCTGTCGGGACGAGATTCCGGTGACTCCTCCGGGGGCGACTCCGGCTTCCTCCAGCTCCTCTCTGTTCTGTCCTCAGCAGCATGACCAGTTCCATCCCCAAAGCTCTTTTTCCCAATGGCGTTGGATTTTTCAGTCTTCTCCATCGACAGTTCCTTAATCTTCATCTCTAATTCCTCGTCAAGTTTTTTCCAATCATGTCCTTTCTCAGCCAGAACCTCTTCCCTTGGCCTCGCCTCTCCAAATGGATTCGAACTCTTGGACCTCGCCGTCGTCCCTGATATCTCCGACGACTTTACATCGTTCACCGGCAGCGTACGTGGCTGAAGATTAAGCTTCGGCCGACTACCACCACCGCCGCCGCCAGAATTACCTTCATCTTTCTTCCTCCCCCAAGTATCTGAATCCGCACCACCACCGCCGCCGCCATTATTACCTTCATCTTTCTTCCTCCCCCAAGTGTCTGAATCAGCACCACCGCCGCTCGCCGTGAACCCTCCTCGTCGCTCTCTGTCAAATCCGCCGTTAGCCCCAAATCTCCTTGCATCCGATGGAACATTGCTCTTATTAGAAACCCAACTCTCAGATTCGTCGGCTTTTGACGATTGCGAATCCGAAAACCCTAATCCTCTATCCCTCCTCTCAAATCCATTTCCAGCCATTGGTTTCTTAGTTGAAGCCCAATTATCGACTTCGTCAGCCCTAGAAGGTACAAATTCCTTACTCGAATCCCCCCTATTAAATCCACCATCATTCCTCCTATTTTCATCAGAGACCCTAGACGAGCCCCACTTCGAGCTAGACGAATCATCCCCATTCGAATACCTGTTACTCCTCTCATACGAACCATTCGAGCCATAATTCCTAAATCCACCACCAAGCTTGTTCCGGTCGAGCTCCTCCGCCGTGCGTTCGCGAGGGCCGGTAGGAAGTACCAATACATCTTCATGAGTGCGGCCCTGCGAAGAATATTTTGAGCCGCTACCGCCATGGGCGGTGAACTCCGCCAACGAGAGAGTTTGCCCTTTCTTCTTCTGCTTGGTGGCCAAGGCGTCGTTGAGGGACGGAAAATCCAGGCTGAGCTCCGCCTTCTTCTGCTGCTGCTCCTGCTCCTGCTCTTCTTTGAGGAGTTCAGCTTCGTGCTCCTCGGAATCTAGCGCCCAAGCGCCTGGTTTGCCCCATGGAGAAGCCATTGCCGGCATTGTTGCCCTGCTTCGAGATTCTGTGAGAATTGGTGTTTGCGTTGGTTGGCAGCGAAATGGATGGCTGGAGTGGCTTCTCGAACTTTATAAACTGGGGAATGACAGATTCTGATCGGATGGTTGAGAAATGACAGACATTTGGATTCAACGGTGGACGATGAGGTTCTCACATTTGCTTATCGAATATATATATATATATTCAAAAAATAAGCTTTTTTTATTCGTAATTAAATGCAAATGTAATTACAATTTAACATAAGATATAATAGAAAGTCAATAAATATTTACAAATAATATATATAATTAATATTTATATTAGAAATAATAAATATCTTAAGATATATATTCGCATTTTTCTTACAAATTCGGTCCAGAGTTAGAAACTTATAATATTGTAGCTACTCACAGTTATTTTGGCCGAAGTTTCATTTCACCGTCACAAAATTTAACTACAAATTTGATCAATATTAACTATTAACCATAATACAACTGAGTAATACCAACTTCTAATGATTTCATTTTATTGCATTTAGTAGATAATACATCATACTAATACTTTCGGGCTACTAAACATCAACTGCATCATAAACAAAGAGAAACTTACAAAAAAAAAAAAAAAAAAAAAAAAAAAAAAAAAAAAAAAAAAAAAAAAAAAAAAAAAAAAAA